AGGTTAGAAGGAAGACTTAAAATTTTTCTTCCCGATCCGATATGCTAGTTACTATAGAAAAAGGGAGGAGTAAAAGTAAGGGTTCAAAAAACCAAAGGCAAGAGCGAGAAGAAAGTCCAGAGGTAAGTTTGTAAATTTGGAGTGTTATCATTATGGTGATATGGGTCACATCAAGAAATATTATCAAAAATTAAAGAAAGACAATAAGAAGAACAAAACCAAACAGAATTAAAATGATAGTGATGAAGATCAAGTTAATGCAACCGATGAGTTTTTGATTGCATATGATAATAATGAAGTTAACATAGCATTAGATTAGCATAGTTAGGTGGTTGATAGTGGAGCTTCGGTACATGCTACATCTCACATGGAGTTTTTTTAGCTCATACATGCTTGGTGATTTTAGAGCGGTAAGGGTTGGTAATAATGAGTCGTTCAAAATGATTAGTATTGGAGATGTGTGCTTAGAGACTCATGCTAGAGTAAAACTAGTTTTAAAAAATATGAAGCATGTTCCCGACTTTTCCTTGAATTTAATCTCGGTTAGAAGACTTGATGATGAAGGATTTTGTAACACATTAAAAAATGATATGTGGAAGCTATCAAAGGGTTCTATGGTAATGAAAAAAAGAGAGAAGTGTTCTTCTTTATATGTCATGCACTGCTAAATTATTGAATGATGATATGAATGTTGTTAGAGATAAGGAAGCTACCGAACTATGACACAAGAGATTGGCTTATATGATCGAGAAAGACATGATAGTATAGAAAAAGAAAAAGTTATTATTTGATATGCGGGATAATCACTTGAAGAAGTGTCCGTAGTGTTTGGCTGAAAAACGAATAAAGTTTCTTTAGGAGCCATCCACCCGTAAGGAAATAGAATCCTATTGAATTAATACATTCGGATGTATGTGGTCCTATGAAGAAAATGTCAAAAGGAGGTTCTTATTACTTTCCGACATTCATAGATGATTACTCAAGGAAGGTGTGATTTTATACACCGGGATCGAAAGATCAAGTTCTTAGTGTTTCTAAACGAGTTTCAAGCTTTGGTAGAAAGACAAACAAGGATAAAGTTTAAGTGTATCCGAATTGATAATGGTGGTGAATATTCGGGCTCTTTTGATAAGCACTACGGGACTCAAGGCATTAAGTATCAAAAGACTCCACCAAAGACACCTCGGTTGAACGGATTGGCTGAAAGGATGAATAAGACTCTAGTTAAGAGAGTCAAATGCTTGATTTCTCATGCGCGACTACTTAAGCCATTTTGGGGTGAGGCATTTAATACTCTTTTTTATTTAATAAATCTTTCACCTTTTATGCCTTTGTTATTTGATGTTCTAGACAGGATTTAGAGTGGCAAAGATGTATCCTATGATCACTTAAAAGTTTTTAGGTGTAAGGCATTCGTGCACATTCCTAAAGATGAGAGATCTAAGCTTGATGTGAAGACAAGGTAATTATTTTATTAGGGTATGGTCAAGATGAGTTTGACTACAAGTTCGTTTTAGGGTATGGTGAATATTCGGACTCTTTTTATAAGCACTATAAGACTCAAGGCATTAAGCATCAAAAGACTCCACCAAAGATACCTCGGTTGAACAGATTAGGCTGAAAGGATGAATAAGACTCTAGTTGAGAGAGTCAGCTGCTTGATTTCTCATGTGCGACTACCTAAGCCATTTTGGGGTGAGGCATTTAATACTTTTGTTTATTTAATAAATCTTTCACCTTGTATGCCTTTGTTATTTGATGTTCTAGACGGGATTTGGAGTGGCAAAGATGTATCCTATGATCACTTAAAATTTTTTAGGTTAAGGGCATTCATGCACATTCATAAGATGAGAGATCTAAGCTTGATGTGAAGATAAGATAGTGTATCTTATTAGGGTATGGTCAAGATGAGTTTAGCTACAAGTCTGTATAATCCAGTTGAAAAGAAGATAGTCAAAAGTCGTAATATTATATTTCTAGAGGATGAGATCATACAAGTTATTAAAAAGACGAACGAGATAGTGATTGACTCTTATGATCATCCGGTAGATATAAAGCCGATTGAGCCGGTTCATTCTACACCAATAGCCGAGCTAATTGAACATGATGATTCACAAGCCGAGTAGGCATTATAGGATGATAATGATCCGCAAGACGCCAATCAAATTCATGATGATGCATTGAGTGATGAATGTGATCGGATAGTTAAACGGGATGATGAAAATGTTCCATCAAAAACCTCATTCGGACGATCTAACAAAGATCGAAGACCTTATAATAGGTACTCTACCGATGATTATGTGTTGTTAACTGACAAGTGGAGAACTTGAATCATGCAAAGAAGTAATAGAAGATGAGAACAAAAAGAAGTGGATTGAAGTCATGAACAATAAGATGAATTCTTTGCATGAGAACAATACCTTTGAATTGGTAAGACTACCCAATGGTAGAAGAGCTTTAAAAAATAAATGGGTGTTTAAAATCAAGCATGAAGAACACACCACACATCCTAGATTCAAAGCAAGATTAATGGTAAAGGGTTTCCGTTAGAAAAGAGGTATTTATTTTAAAGAGATATTTTCTCCAGTGGTGAAGATGTTATCTATTTGAGTTGTACTTGGCCAAGTAGCAAGTATTGACTTGAAAGTTGAATAGATAGATGTCAAGATAGCGTTTTTACATGGTAACTTAGAAGAGGAAATCTCCATAGAGCGACCGGAGGGGTTTTAGTTGAAAGGCAAAGAAAACCTCGTGTATAAATTGAAGAAAAGTCTTTATGGTTTAAAGCAAGCTCCTAGGCGAGTGGTACAACAAGTTTGACTCGGTTATGAAGGAGCAAAGCTATACGAAAATCATATCAAATCATTGTGTTTATGTGCAAAACATTTTTTATGATGACTTTATAATATTGTTGCTTTATGTAGATGATATCTTAATTGTTGGTAGGAATGCTTCAAGGATAGATGACTTGAAGAAGCATCCGAGCAAGTTCTTTGACATGAAAAACTTAGGGCCGGTAAAGTAAATTTGGACATACGCATTGAACGTGACAGAGCAACTAAGAGATTGTACTTATGTCTTATCTCAAGAGAAGTACATTGATAAGGTACTTCAGAGATTCAAGATGGACAAAACTAAAGTGGTTAGCTCTCCTCTTGCAACTTACTTTAAGCTAACCATCCAACAAAGTCCTTCTACGGATGAGGAGAAGGAGGAGATGCAAAGAGTTTCATATGCTTCAGCTATTAGGAGTTTGATGTATGTTATGGTATGTACAAAGCCTGATATTGCTCATGTTGTTGGGGTAGTTAGCAGATTTTTGTCAAATCCAAAAAAAGAGCATTTAAATGTAGTAAAGTGGATAATGCGATACCTCGGAGATACAAGCAATTTGAAACTATCTTATGGTGCTAAAAAATCGGACTTGATTGGTTATACGGATTCGGACATGGCATGAGACATTGATTTCACAAGTCAACATCTAGATATTTGATTACTTTTATAGAGGGAGTTGTGGCTTGGCAATCTAGACCGTAAAAGTGTGTTACTCTTTCCACCACCGAGGTAGAATTCATTGTAGCAACGAAAGCTTATAAAGAATTGCCATGGATGAAGAAATATATTCGGGAACTCGGTTTCAAGCAAGATAGGTATGTGTTGTTTTGTGATAGTCGAGTGCTATCCACCTTGGTAAAAATTCTACATTTCATGCTAGATCAAAGCATATTGATGTTCGATGCCATTGGATTAGAGATGTTTTGAATTCCAAGTTGTTAGAACTTCAAAAAATCCATACCGATGATAATGGTTCCGATATATTGACTAAAGCATTACCAAGGGAGAAACTTGAGGCTTGTCATTCGGTCGTCGGGATGGTGAATACCTCCACCTAGTCATGAGGGAGAGATTTGTTGGGTTTCCCTCCTAGTTGGAGGATGGCCCAAAGGTTTGCCTACATGAGCTCAATCTTGAAGCCCATATAGAAGAGGAATTTTTTAATCATTCAAAGGGTAATTTTGGTATTTTTAAATAAATCATATCTTATTTTTTACTCTGAAATCAGATTAGAGAAGAAAGTAAGAGAGAAAAGAAGAAAAAAGAGAGAGAGCTCGCAACTTTAGAGAGAAAGAGGGAAAAAAGCTTTAACACAAACTAATCGAGGCTAAAATTGAGTTTCGGATTCGTTAATCGTTGGATTGAACTCAAATTTGATGGGCACGTTCAAAAGAGACGGACGCATAGTTTGAACGGTGAAGTTCTGGTTTTAAGTACTAGAAAGCGAGATATGATGCTTACAACGAGTGCTATTTTCCGATGAAATCCGAACTTAGTTTCTTCTCTTTTCTTTGTGTATCATCTATTGACGTGGTTTGCCAAGGGTGTATAACCTTTGATGCTTGTGGCTGATGTATTCCTCTAGTTTAATCTAGAGATGACTTCTTGTATTGCCCATTATTATTGATAGTGAAAGTTATTGTGGATTCGGTCTCATGGTTTTTCCCTTCTCAAATTGATGAGGTTTTTCATGTAAAAGTTATGTGTTCCTTGTGTGATTGGTATTTTATTTTTCAGATTATTAGTTACTTATTTTAGTTTGGGTATTTGATTGTAACCTATATTTGATTATTCAAGCAAGATCAAAAAGGTTCCGTTATGTTATTTGTATTTTTTTGTCCAACACTATAGAGTTGGTGTGTACTAGTCGCTAAACATGCTTCAAAGACAGTAGCATACAAAACATTCTCATCTTTGAAACCATACAAATTGAACATTGTAGAAGCTTCAAGAGATCGGTGCCTGGGTATTGCAGTGGAGGTTGCTCTGGCTATAATTCAAAATTAATTTCGGTCATCGTGTGTGCTGCAGGACCTAATACATACATCCGATAGTTGATACAATTACTCGAATAAATAATTGTTGCTCATTTTTATTTCCATCCTTTTAAGATCGACTGCACTTTCAATGGCATAAACTATAAAGACTTTTTCAAATAGATAACTATGGTAAAGATACATTCACAACCACAATTAATGCTGACAACATTATAGAGCAGAAAATAACATGAAGGGATATATATATATATATATATATATATATATATATATATATTTAACCGGGACATGAACGAAATTCAATCCACATTCATTATTTAAAAAATTGCGAAGTTATTAGACTCGGATCGATTGATCTAATCATTTGACATACATATTGATATAATATCAAAATTAATTTGTGTAATTTTTTTTTTCAATTGGATATTTTCAAATAATAGGATCTTCGTCTATCATAAAAACGAATTTCCTTTCGCCAAAAAAATTTACTGTCTAATCAATGGAGACTCAATTGAGAAAATCATTTATTTGGAAACTCAACAAAGACAGAGGTGATAATTAGATCCTTTTTCATTTTTTAGTTGCCCCCAGATCGAGAAGTTGGGTTGGCAACTTGTTGGGAATGGAGAGAAAGCACGAGGCCCTGAGGAAAAAAGCAGAACAAAAAAAGACCAACTTTCTTTCGCAACCTGCTTGTAGGATTGCATTTGTCGGTTCCTTGTTTTTAACTGGAGTCATAGAGTCCTTCAAACTTGCACACATACCATACAAGCAAAGAAACTTCAGCATGGGCTTCCAAGAAAGAGGTTTTGTTCCATCCTCTCAGGCATGTTTTTCGTTTTTCTTCGCTTCTTGATTGCGAATTTCATCGAATCCTCTTCAATCTCCTGAAATTCGATATCTTTGAGTGGTTCCTCGACTCTTCCGAGGCTTGAAGAACACAACCTTTTGGAAGGTAAATGTTTTCATTTTTTTTTTTTTTACATGAATTTGGTTTTTTGTGAGGGATTTACCTCGTCTTTTTTTTTTTTTTTCAGTATGAATTTGCTTAATCATTCCAACGAATTAGCAAATCTGATGGGTTTATTTTGTTAAGTTATGAAAATTGACATGAATGAACCTAGGATTTTTCTTTTCATTATAACCCTAATTATCTAAAATATAAATAAAAATAATATCACTTATATTTAAAGTTATTATTTAAAATTTTTTTAATAAGAAATCCTAATACGAGTCATAGAATAGACACAATTATTAAACCGTCTAAATCCTCTTTCTACTTTTTTTTTTTTTTTAATTTGTTTCCTAACATTTTTTTCTTTTATAATGAACCATCATAATCAGCAACATCTGAGGCTTGATGGTACCAATGAGTCTATGCTTATTAATTTAGAAAAAGCATTTGCAACTGCTGAAAATGGCTACTTCAATGCAGTTGGGCCCCCGGAATTAAAGCAAGTTAAAGTAAAGTACGGAGAAGCGGATATTCTTGGAGCTGTTATTACCCCATTAGATCATTAATTTTTAATTTTTAACTTTCCTCAACCTTCCTGTTAATATAATTCTTGATATCCTTAATTTTTCTATTTATTTATTTGTGTTCTTTTTAATTAACTACAAATATTATTAAAATGACTAATTGATTATAAAGTATTTTGAATTTTTTGTCAACAAGAGAAAAATCTTTAATCTTTTTTATTTTAATTTAGATTTTTCAAACCTTTTTTCAGGATCCGTAGTTAAATTATTTTGTCCAATTAACAAATTTCAAACAACATTAGATGTGTTTGAAAAGCATTAAAACCATTAAAACAATAATACATGTTTTAGAAGAGACATTTTTAGATATTACTAAAAAAATAAAAGAAAACACGATTTTATTATTCATTTTCATTATTTGAAATACTATTCACATACTTATAAATCATTATTCATATACTCACAAATCACTATTCATTTCACTATTTATGTTATTTTTTTTAGCACTCGGTCCTCAATTTTTTTATACTTTTTTTCTTCAAATTTAAACTTTAATTGTATTGTGATTTGATTTCATTTGGTTTTAGTCCTTTCTTTTAATTATTTTTATTATTTAAAATTTACTAGTTTAATTTGTCATTTTTTTAATATAGTCATATGTTATTAATATTATGATCATATTATAATAATATTATTTTTCTACACTAAGTATTTACTTTTTATTTATTTATTTTTGAATTAAATAATTAAAATAATGTTTTGGCTTAACCACTCAATGATTCAAATTAATATAGTTTTTTATTTTAATATTATTCATTCTTTTATAAATAAATATATAAAAATTAAATTCATATTTTTTCTAAAACTAATATTCTCATCAACATTAAATAAAAAAAATTATTTTTTCAATTCTATATAAGCTTTTAATAATTATTATTTATGTTTTTCGACACAATCTTATGAAATACTAAAGTTTTTTTTTAAAAAAAATTATTTAATTTTCTTTTTAGTTAATAATACATGGATTAATAAGGATAAATCTTTTTTCTAAAGAAAAGATTATGAAAAACACAAATAAGAAATAGTTAAATACAAAATTTTTTATCTTTGATTTCAAATATATTTTCTAAACGATTTTATATATTTTATCCAACCCGCAACATAATATTGGCAAAAAAACTAGTGTAAACTATTAAAACGTTACGAGTCTTCCCACGTGTGTTCATGTCATATGAGATTAATTAACAAGAAATTTAATCTTAATACGAGAATAACTAACAATACTTATAGATGAGAAATTTTATTTTATTCTAAAAATAACTAACAATACTTACTCTATAGGAAAAAAAAATGGGCATAAAAAAAGAAGACATAGAATAGAGAATTATATTAAAAAAAAAACTTAGAAAAAATGATTGGAAAAACGTTTTTGGTAGATTTGAATGTATGTTTTTGTACCAGTCTTCTTTCATCTAAGTAAATTCACGGAATAATTATTATATGTTACTCTTGAGTATTTTAAAATTTTTCCTAATTAAAAGGATGTAGAAATTTAACCACGGATTAAAAAAAAAAATTCAAGATCTAAATTGAAATAATATAATGTAACATATTTTTTCCTTGTTGACCAAAATTTGAGATTACCTTATAACTGAATAAATTATAAATTAGCCCCTCTTATTTTGAAAAATGAATTAATTAGTTCTTCTTATTTAAAAAATAATTATTCAGTCCCTATATTTTGAAATCTAATTATAATTTATTCTTTTTTGCTTCTTTTTAATTTTTTTGTTTCAAGAAATAGAAAAAAGAAAGAAATATGGAAAAATATGAAAAGATTGATGAGAAAATAAGAAATTTTGTGGAAAAAAAATATAAAATTAAACATGTTCAACACCGATTAAAAGATTAAATAATAATTTTTCAAACAAAATAGACTAATTTATTTATTTTTTAAAACTAGAAGGACTAATTTATAATTTACTCTCGCATAGAATCATTGTTGTTAAAAAAAAAAAATATAGTATCAAAATACTGGTCCAGTGAGAAAATGAAGCCCATAACTCAAAGACAAAACACTTCTAAACTCCATTTAAAGAAGGCCGGAGGTCCACTGAGACAAGCCTGTCGATTCTATGAACTACAAGCCATTCATCTTGATATGGAGTAGCTAAATGCATCATGTTTTGAGACGTGTAGTGTGATTTCCTATTCTTGAGGAGCAGACAACCCATCTTTTCATGTTTTTTTCAGGCAAATCAGGGTTCGATTGGATTAACCATGGAACTCGCAGAAGAGGAAGAAGTGAAGTATGGGGATTGATTAAATAGATGGATTAAACAAGAAGGATAAGATACCCTAGCTACTTTCAGTTTTTTTTAATGGGACATAGGGCAAAAGCTTTTTTCTTTTGTTTTTTATTTGATGATTTGTGTAGTTGTATTTGGTTACATAATTAGCAATGTCCTTGTTAATGCTTGGACCAGCAAAACATTTTTCGCATCTATTATACATGGAATTTGGGCTTTTCTCCAAAGCCCAACAAAATTAGGCCCAAATACTATCATGAGCTCTTTCTCTTGAGATCACAAACCACTTAGTCCAACACTCTAAAAACATACCTAATACCCATTACTTCATACTATAAATATAAATATAAAAGCTTTCTTCTTTCTACATACAACTCCCAAAGTTCAACAGCTACGAGAGAACTTTAAAAACAGGAAGAAAAATATTCATACAATACTTCTAAAAACTCCAAAAAAACAAGTTCAATAAGGACAAAACTCATAAAAACATACAAAAAATATATCTCTCTCTCTCCATATAAATACTTATACATCACCATCTTTGTACGTACATACATCATGTTTAAAATACCAATTTAACTATTGGAGCGATTTTGCCTACGACCTCTCGGCACCACTAACTCAGGTGTTTTTGCTTTATGCATGTAGGACTGCAGAAGACACTATCATCCTTATTGACACATTTTACGAGGCTAAACTTGGAGCTCAACAAATTCCGATGCTGAAAACTGGAGCATCATCAAGCCGTCTGTGGAAATGCGAGCAAAACTCTCCAATTTCTCCATATAATCTCCATGGCTTTCTCAGTCTCTAATCCAAAATGCTCCAATGTCTTCATACAATCTTCATAGCTTTCTCAACTTCCGATTTAGCAACAATAGTGTCCTCCTCTTTCCCTTGAACCATATTTAACTCTTGAATCTCCATGCAAAAAAAATAAAATTAAAAATAAAGCTAGATCTGGTAAATCATCACACAAGGTACGGTCTAACTAATCTTTGTGCAAGATTGAAGATCAGTAAAGATGGTTTAATGGATAAGAATGAAGCTGCTAAATAAAAAGGCAAGTTCTAAAAAGTTATCTCAAGGTGAGCTGCAGCAGCAAGTAACTTTGAAAGATGAAGAAATACAACGCCTCAAGGACCTGCTACATCAAGGAATGAACAACCTTCCTGTTAATATAATTGTTAATGTCCTTAAATTTTCTGTTGATATATTTGTGAGTTCTTTCTATTAACTACCTATAGTATTAAAATGTTAATTTACTTTAATTTTTTTTATCAACAAAAAAAAAATCTTTAATTTATTATTAATCTAATTTTTGGATTCAGAACTTTTTTTGTTATATATATATATATATATATATATTGCAAATAAGAGACATGTTATCTATTAAAACAACAATACGAATTTTGAAACGAGACTCGATCGATAATCAACAAGAAATTTTATCTTATTTAAAGAGTAACTAATAATCCTTACCCGATAAACAGAAATAAACACAAAGAAAAGAAATATATATATATATATATATAAATGAAAATATTTTTATGACTTTTAATGAATCTCGATATGATTTTTTCCTTCTTTTTTATATCCATCTTTTTTTTTCAAAATGGGTTCACAGAGTAACTATTATAAGTTACTCTACGGAGAGACAAACACAAAGAAAAAAGAAAAATAGGAGAGAGAAAATTAAAAATAAATTTGAGATTAAGAGAAAATATTTTTATTACTTTTAATCAGCTTGGATATGATTTTTTCTTTTTCTTTTTTTCTTTTCATTTTTTTCTCAAAGTGGATTCATAGAGTAATTATTATAAGTTACTCATTGAGTATTTTAAAATTTATGTCAATCAACGAGATAAAAAAATTAGTATCAAAATTAAAATAAATATATAATTAATTTCTAACAAAACTCTATATATAAGAAAATAAAATTTACAAATTCTTTTTTAACTAATTATTAATTTAAAAAAAAATTGAGTCAAACTATCTAAAACACATTTTTAGTTCTCTCTTTCTCTAATCGAATTTATACATGTAACTATGCTAGTCTCATTTAAAAATTATAAAAAATAATTAATCGTATAAATAATAATAATATATTTTAAAAAATAACACAATCGCCTTCCAAAATTTTATTTCAAAATTCATTTATAAAAAAAAATTTATTGACAAATAAAATTATATCAAAAAATTAAAAAATTAATTGGATGAAAATTTTAATAAGAAACAAAAAATTGAAGAAATAAAATTTAAACAATAAGAATAATATATATTCAAACTAAAATATTAAAAAAAATCATATATATTCTATTACGTCAAGCTAAATGTAAAACTAAAAAAAATGATCTATTTTCTATATTTTCACACCTAATTTCATGATAAAAATATATAAAAATAAATTATTGAAAGAAAAAAAGGAGAAAAGAGGGCGGGCATGTGCAGCCAACCCAACCCAACCCAACCCAACCTAGCCCCGGCGATGGTAGGTCCGTGAGCTAGGCCTATGCGCCGGGTTGCTCCAACCTCCCCTACTCAAGGCTTGGGTTCGTTGGCAGCTCAAAGAAAAAAAAAAAAGGATTAGGCATGTGCTAGCCCAAGAAAAAAAAAAGTCTGTAACTTCTAACAAGCTTAAGCTAGTTGGAAAATCGAGGATCCATATTTAGACCCCTTAAAAATCAATATTGGCATTATTTTTTCTCCTAAACATCTTTACATGACCGAAATAAAGTCAATAAACACTTTTAAGGCCTTAAAAACTCATTTTAATGCACATTAAAAATAATAATAATCAAATCGATTTTTTTTCTTTTTTGGCTCGATCTACATCTTTCTATTATTTAATGGCTTAAAATCACTTTGAATAAACTCATATCTCAAAGGTAAAAAAATTTAATAGAGTTTCGTCGACCAAAGTGGCCAAAATAAGGTTGATCGACGCTGTCTCTCTCCTCCCATCTCTCTCTTTTTCCTCCCTCCTTTCTATACTTAAGGACCAAAATGTATCAGCAAATAAAGATATGGAACGAAACAAAAATTTTGAAAATATTAGGGACTAGAGTATAAAAATTTGCATAATTTCCATATCATTGCCCACGAAAATTCAAAGAAATAACCAAAAAGCCAAGCTATAGTGAATGAATAGTCAATACCTCGGTTCTTTTAGTTTTTTTTTTCAATATTATTATAACTTATCATGTCCTTGTTTATATTTTTATTTTGAGTAAATTATAAATTAGTACCTTTAGTTTTAAAAAATGAATTAATTAGTTTTTTACTTTAAAAATTAATTATTTAGTTATTTGACTAGCATCGATCACGATTGATTTAATATTATTTTATTTCATAAAATATTTTTATCAATCTTTTCTTTTTTTCTTTTTTTTTAAAAAAAAAAAATTAAGTTACTTGTTATGAAACAATGAATGTTCATCATCATGTTCATCCACTTTTCATATCCCCACTACTCATGATTCTTAATGTGATTCAATTCATCATTCAATATGAAAAATTAAAAGGGTGATGCAATTGATTATTCATAGTCCCTTCCAATTCTCTCTTCAATTTTGAAGCCTATAAATAGGCTCGATTGTTCATTAGTTGGTGTATAAGTTTCCTAGAGAGAATAAGAGAAACTTTGAAGTTCTTATCACTTATATTCATATTATAGTGATTTCATTTTCTTGTCATACTTTTCTTCGATTCTCCTATTATTTCTATTTATTTTATAACACGTTATCGGCACGAAGCTCTAACTAATTGAGACAATAGACCATGAGATATGTATCTACCAAAAGATTTAATCAATTGTTTCAACAATTGGATTTCTTCTACACAAGTGCTTTACCAAAAGATCTAAATTATTTAGATCATTAAGAGATATGTATCTAATTTATTCATGTACTTTAAATCTATTGATACATGAAATATATATTTGAAAAACTTAAATGATCTACTAATGATCTAATATATGTTATTTGAAAAGCTTTAATTTTATTATTATATTTGTTCTTATTTTCTAATATTATTATTATATATTGTATTATAGAATTTTTATCATATCAAATCTCATAAACTTGATTTTGTGGCTCTTGATATTTTGAATAAGAATTATTGATTATGAGTGATTGATTTTGAAAAAATATTCTTTACTTTTTATGTCTTGGATATGCTCCTGCAATAGCATATCGAGAGAAAGAGTTTAAGAAATATTTTGGATCGATTTTATACTTATTAGTGGCTAAATAAAATGAAAAAGAATAAATCTCATTCAATTAGATCTACTCTATTCCCCGAAGTGAATGTGATAATTTATAATAATTTTAGACATGGATGAAGATGTGGTCATAGCCATGGATATGGTCGAAATAATTATCATTATAATCGTAATGACCATAATATTACATCTCACCACCGAAGTTGATAACTATGAAAAAAATGAATAAAAATAGATAAAGTCGGTATTCTGAAAAATAAATATTATAGATATGGAATGAATGAATATTGGTTGTGTACTCGTTGTACACCAAAGCATCTCATTGAGCATTGTCATGCCTTATTGAACAATAAAGAGTAAAATATGAAGGCCATTTTTATATATCAAAGTAATAGTAATTGAAATTAATTATTTGTTAGTCTTTGTATTTATAAATAAAATGTTTTATATTTCTTATAATTTATGTCATATATTGATGGTTACAAATTTATTTTACTTGTTTATTTATTTGTTTGTGTTTATGAGGAATATATTGATTTATTTATTTTTTATTGATTTATTTGATTATTTATTTTATGTTAATATTATATATGATAATATCAATATAATAGAAAGCTCTAGAAGAGCGACTATATTGTTATCTAAAGAGATAGATTTTGAAGGCTCTAGAAGAGCGATTATATCATAACTTGAAGAGACAAATTTTTGAAGCTCTAGAAGAGTGAATAAATTATTACTTGAAGAGAAAATGTTTAAAGGCTCTAGAAGAGTCGATATA